ATATTTAAAGTCTAAATGCTTAGGTAAAATTTATTATCAGTATCAATAATGTCAATATTATTTATAAATGTTATTGTATTTTTATATTTAATAATAATACAACAATAAGATATGTTATTGATATATGATCATTCATCAGTTATCAGTTTGCTGTAAAAAAAATGTAAACAACGTTAATTACCCTTGCTACTCTGATAAAAGCACATTTATAGTTTAAAATCAAAAAACTACGAAGCTATTTTTTATGGAGAAACAAACCACTCAAATGATTAATATTTTTTTACATTTTTCACCAACAGTTTTACGAGTTTTTTTTCATCAAAAGTTGACATATGATATATCATTCTATTCAGAGTTTCATTTTCTATGGAATAACGTAGAAATATACCCAGAGTTCCATTTAAAAATTGTTGTTGTCATTTCCGGTGAAACCGGAAACGATCAAAAACAATTGAATATGTTAATCAATCCTAATTTACGTCATATACCAACATACCAAATCTGTTTTTTTTACAACAATCATTCAGTCAAGCCTTGGTAATTCTGATTTTTTTAATTTTTAAATACGCCAGCCTTTATATCGGCACATTTAATTATTACTTAGCTTTGATAATAATAGTACTTAATGTAATAAAACAAACTGGTCATAGTTCTGTGGACACAAGGAATTAGTTAAGTTGAAAAATATAGGTGCGTTTTACTTAAGTTACTATAAAACTAAAGATTAATTTGTATAGTTTAATATTTAAAGTCTAAATGCTTCAGTCAATTATATCATCATTATCATCGCATCCAATACGACAACAGGAAGATTTTTAAATCAAGAAATAGGGACAGAAATACCCCTTGAAACAAAACGAAAAATATGTTTTGTTATTTAGACCAAGTGTTTTGTATCACAGAAAATATTCTGAAAAATTTGCAGTACTAACAGCATAAGTATAAATACAATATGATCGAAAAAAAATGTCAGTGATGGCTATTGAATGAAGATCGCTGTCGTTTTATATGTAAAATTATATAAGGAATGTCATGGATGTTAAATTCTAAGCCAATTCGACACCGTTTTTTTTTTCGATCATACGGTATTAGATAGCTCGGTAAATACATATAAATTAATTATACCCTCGATTATACCATAATAATATGATTGAATAGAACGACGTCCGATTAAATTCTTCATTTTACAAATAAAAGGACAGCGATCTTTATTTCCAAGCCATTTCAAATTGTTCAATTATCCAATAAATAGTCAAGAAAAATAAGTCATAAATCTTCAAGAAAATGGAAATAAACACCCAAATTTTTTTTGACTATAATGTTCGTAATATGTGATAGATAACTAATGCTGAATATCAGTTCAAGTTTTTAAGTTTGTCCACTATCAAAAAAAAATGTAAAAGGGCAATAACTCATCATTCTCTAGGAATCATATATAATTTTTAAATAGTATCGGCACAGCTAATTATTAAGGTGCCCGGTGGCGTAGAGGTACAGGCTGTTGTCTACCAATCTCAAGGTAGTCGGTTCGAATCCCACACCCGGCATTTCATCAGCCGACTATTTTTATTAAAATAAAAATAGTTTGGGTACCTAGGTCGACTCAGCCTTAAATGAGTACTTGGGATTCACAATCCTGCGGTAATAATAGGCGGTTGAAGCGTAGTGCTAGCCACATTACCTTCCTTGATACCGAACGGCTCTAGTATAGCAAGCTGTACCTTGCTACTCCCAAGGCGTTAAACGCTATATACGGGAGCTATTATTATTATCGGCACAGCTTATCCATAACCAACCTGCCGAATTGAGATTCTTTTCATGGAACTCTGCGTATCTATGTAGATATTCGCTTATATAAGAGTCGCGTTAATTGTCAGCTCCACTGTAACTACGTCTAAAACACGATCGAGATTGGTGCTCCAATGACTACTGATATCTGTAGGAGAATAGACGCAGCCATCACGTTAAACGCGAATAATTAAAAACAAGCCAGCAAAAAGATGACCAGCTGGTACTGAATAATCTGTGATATAACTGTAATGAGTGTAACACATACATTTTCAAATGAAAACATTTATCTATTCTTTATACTTTTGTTGCCATAAATAGTCACTATACTTACCAACTTCTATTTACTTAAAATTATTGAAAAAACTTAAAATTTAAGTGAGGATGCAGTCAATAATCACCACATAGGCTAATAAAACTACTTTTTCAAATTTGTCTTTTTTCTGTTATACAATTTTAAAATGTTAATGCCTTTGTTATTTATACATTTTAGAAACTGTCCTGATGATGGGAATAAAATTCTCGAAAGCTTGACAAAAAAAAGATAAAAAAGACAAATTTGAAAAAGTAGTTTTATTAGCCTATGTGGTGATTATTGACTGCATTCTCACTTAAATTTTGAGTTTTTTCTTAACTTAGTCAGTCACGACTAACCTGCTATTTTTGAAATTATTGAATATACATTCAGGGCGTTTCTCAAAAGTGGCTCACACCTATAACTTTTTTAGATAAACAAACAAGATTTGGTATGTTAGTTTATGACATAAATCAGGATTGATTGACGTATTCAATTGTTTTCGGCCGCTTCCTGTTTCACCGGAAATGACTACAACACTTGATTTTTGAATGGCATTCTCGGTATTTTTTACTTTGTTCGATAGAAAATGACTCTGAATAGAATGACATAATATCATATGTCAACTTTTTACATATTTGCTTAAGAAAAAATCGTATTTTAAATTTTAACAACAATTTGATCGTCTAATATTTTTAAAAAAGAAATAAATCGTCATCAAAAATTTGATCTACTAATCTTTTTCGTGTCCCCCCCCCCATAAAAAAACGGTCGGTTAAAAGTTGCTCATGTCGTATTTTTAATCATAACTGAATTTTTTCAAATGGAACAAGGGTGGCTTATTAGCATTTTTGGAAAAAGCATTTTTTACGACTAATTTGGTACTACTCAATTCCCCAATTGGTATTTCTAGTCAAATTGTCGGTACATTTATGGCCATGGCACTAAATTTAAATACCATTTTCTATCAAATAAAGTAAAAAAAAATATCGACAGTATCATTTAAAAATCAAAAGTTGTAGTCATTCCCGGTGAAACAGGAAGTGACTGAAAACAACTGAATACGTCAATCAATGTTAATTTATTTCATATGCTAATATACATAGGTACCACATTTCAGGTTATTTTTATCTGAAGAGATAAAAATATTATAGGGGTGAGCCACTTTTGAGAAACACCCGGTGTATATTTAATAATAAATTATTTTCGCACAAGACTTGTTTCAGTAAGTAGAATTATTACTTTTTTCATTATTAAAAATTCGTGCTATAATGTGATTGACAATTTCAGCCTCTCAAGCTGATGCAACTTTGTGACCCGAGATATCACATTCAAAATGTATCTTTGACAATTTTAGGACTACGACAATAGTTTTTTATTGCAATTTGCGGATATTTGTCAGGTGCTTTAATTTAGCTGCTATTTTTTCATTATCAGCTATTTTTGCATTTTCTTCGATCATAACCTGAAACTTTGATCTATGATAACTTGATTTTTGTAGAAGATACCTTTTTAATTTGTATTAAGTTTCTTTTTTTTATTATTTTTTGAGAAATAATATACAGGGTGAGTCATAAATAAGTGCAAATATTTTTAGGGGTGGTATATTTCAACCTCAGAAACACATAGCGACCCCAGAAAACGGCATTTTTCGAAAAAAAAATTGGATTTTTTTTAATTTTTAGTTAAAAATCCTAATATTATGGCAATATAGGTAGTAGGTATATTAAATTTACAAAAAAGAAAACCCAAAAAACAGTAGTTCTCAAAATATGAACAAAAATCTTTTTTTTTTTTAGATTTTCAAAGTAAAATAACTGGTTTATTTTGGATTTATTTGAAAAACGGCAAAGAGAAAATACGTTTCTTTTGTCGAGATCTGCCAGCCCTGGAAATATTTGCACTACATAGATATAAATTAAATTAATGTAATATATTAATAATAAAAAATCCTCCATGTCTGATATTAACAGACATTTTTTTGCTCTGCAAAATGCAGGTATTTCAGTGTCAGCAAGTGAGATCATATTTGATAGTAGTTAACTTCATCTTGAATTATCCACATTGAATATAAATTAAGAATTAAGGAACTTAGATCGACTAGGTGATTCAAGAAGCCATTAAAAAAATAAAAAAAATCTCATAATACCATAAGAAACAAATCTAATATAGAAAATTAGATATAATAATTTAAATAAAGAGACATACATAATTAAAGTGCCTGTCTTATCGTCCATAATATGTTTTTTGTTTCATCAATAGTATTTATTAATCCTTAATAATTAATTGTTTTCTATTTACAGTCTGCATGGTTTTGAATCCCTTGGTGAATACCCTTGTTGACGAAATTCACTGATATCTTTTAATTTTTAATTTACTTAAGTACTTTAATTTAATGCTTGATTCAATGTGAAAAAATCCGAATTACAAAAAAACAATGATTTAAAATAAAACTAAAAGTGTCTAGATATCGAATGAATTAATTTAAGTGTATTAAAACAAAGAATGGCAGATACCATCTTCTACTTATGTCTAATCTTTTATACAAAAAATACTTTATTTAGTACTTTCTTACCGAATTTTAAGATTTAATTATTTGATTATATAATTTAATAATGTTAATAGTAAATAGCTACAAATTCATCAATATTGATCTAAATAATATCATTCCATTTTTATGATTAGGTAAGTACATAGAAAAATGGATTCTGAATTTTCTTCTGAAATGATTATTAGGTTTTCTTTCATTTATTTTTCAGGATCTGTTATATTAGGTATTTACTTTAAACTATTGGTCAGTGAGATTAATATGTATAAGTAAATAAAATTAAGGTTTACTTAAAAAATATAAATTCTGGATATTTTCTGTATCTATAAATTAAAAGAGCGATATACAAAAAATATTAAATGCTCTTACTTGGTTTATATGTCCTTTGTATTGAACTTTCCTGCAAGCGACTGTTGAAACTGAACCTTCTGATCAGATCACCAGATGCAAAATTTTTCGGAAAAAAGTAAAAAACCGGAAAGAAAACTGACGATGAAAACTGATACAAACGACGAAACGTATACGGCCTCGGTGGTTCGCAACGGTCACTACGATTCGCTCTATAATGTCACTTGTTTTTATTTTTCCTCGCGATATACCAGCAGCGTGCAGCGGCGGTTTGTTCCACGGATTTTCACCGAAGGATGATGGTTGTTGGATGCTGATTTTAACAACTAGCGGACCGCATACATGACCCAAGTTATTATAGGAATCTACTACTCTGCCCCCTACTCCTCACACTCCTCCACCAGTCACGGCTTTTCTTGTTAATTATCCCATTGCGTTCTGTTTTTTTTTTCTCGTAAAATTGGCGGGAAAAACGCATGCAACGTGCGTACTAATTGATACTTTCGATGGAAATATTCATTGATGCAATTGAATATTGACGTTGCATTTTAATTTTAGCCCTGCAAAAGTAAAATACCTTTTTTGTGATTATTCATTTTTTTTAAATATCAGAAAAACGAAACAGCAATTATCATTTTTTTACAGAAAAGAGCTTTCAAGATTATTCAGCGTTTTTTCTGCGTTTTACCAAGAAATTGCAAATAGCTCTCATCGCCCCTAAAGTACCGCATGATAAAAAAAAAACGGCGTCAAAGACGGCTGCGGAATGACAATCGTTGATAATTTTAACGAGGTCAATCTCTAGACGTCATTTACTGTAAATCGACATAAAATTTTACAAAAATTAACACTAATTATAGAAAAATTAAAAAAGGATACAAAGTTTCACCTAAAAATCTGTTTCCAAAAGATTATTTTGTCTTGAATTTTAAACTACACCGACCGTTTAAAAATCATTATTACTTATTGTAAAAATCGATTACAATCTTTTTAAGGCCAACTGGCAGTACCTGCCATTAAAAAATAAAGAAAAGTATAGGCCAAGTAAATAACCTCGAGGGCTTAGGGTTTGATCTCGTCAAAATTATCATCGATTGTCAATCCCCCAATCAAAACCGTCTTTGACGTTGTTCTTTTTTCGATGGGATGGTATCATACTTATTAAATAAAGTAAAATCTAATTTTTATAATTAAATTGAGACAGTCAATCAAGTAGGCCTAAAGATGAGCCTACCTGGCCTACCCCCTATAGGGATTGCCACGGTTCAAAGTTTTTCTTTCTAAGTACTTTATATGGGTCCGGCAACAATGCGTCGGGCATTTGTAGCTCCTAGCTCCTATAATAAATAACTTAGAAATTTTGGATAAGTGCAAACCTAAAGTGTGTATTAGAATGTATTCCAGGAAAATATTTTAACTACTACAGGGTGGCTCAAAAAAGTGTGAGTGGATCAGGATGATTTTTTTTAAATAGGACACTCTGTATATTGTTCCATTTTTTGCTTCCTTTCTGATCACTTTACATAATCCTAATACCGGGTGCGTCTAAAAAGTGGCTCATCCCTATAACTTTTTTATTTTTTCAGATAAAAAAAACGAGATTTGGTATGTTAGTATATGCCATAAATTAGGATGGATTGGTATATTCAATTGTTTTTGGTCACTTCCTGTTTCACCGGAAATGACTACAACTTTTGATCTTTAAATGGCACCGTCGGTATTTTTTTACTTTATTCGATAGAAAATGACATTCTGAATAGAATGATATATCATATGTCAACTTTTGGCATTCTCATTGATGCAATTGAATATTGACGTTGCATTTTCATTTTAGCCCTGCAAAAGTAAAATACCTTTTTTGATTATTCATTATTTTTAAATATCAGAAAAACGAAACAGCAATTATCATTTTTTTACAGAAAAGAGCTTTCAAGATTATTCAGCGTTTTTTCTGCGTATTACCAAGAAATTGGAACTAGCTCTCGTCGCCCCTAAAGTACCGCATGATCGAAAAAAAAACGGCTTCAAAGACGGCTGCGGAATGCCAATCATTGATAATTTTAACGAGGTCAATCTCTAGATGTCATTTACTGTAAATTGACATAAAACTTTACAAAAATTAACATTAATTATAGAAAAATAAAAAAAGGATAGAAAGTTTCCAAACACCCAAAAATCTAAACGTTCTCTAAAAATCTGTTTCCAAAAGATTATTTTGTCTTGAATTTTAAACTACACCGTTTAAAAATCATTATTACTTACTGTAAAAATCAATTACAATCTTCTTAAGGCCAACTGGCAGTACCTGCCATTAAAAAATAAAGAAGACTACAGGCCAAGTAAATGATCTGGAGGGCTTAGGGTTTGATCTCGTCAAAATTATCATCGATTGTCAATCCCCCAATCAAAACCGTCTTTGACGTCGTTCTTTTTTCGATGGAATGGTATCATACTTATTAAATAAAGTAAAATCTAATTTTTGGGATCAAATTAAGACAGTCAATTAAGTAGGCCTAAAGATGAGCCTACCCGGCCTACCCCCTATAGGGATTGCCACGGTTCAAAGTTTTTCTTACTAAGTACATTATATGGGTCCGGCAACAATGCGTCGCGCATTTGTAGCTCGTAGCTCCTATAATAAATAACTTAGAAATTTTGGATAAGTGCAAACCTAAAGTGTGTATAATAATGTATTTCAGGAAAATATTTTAACTTCTACAAGATGGCTCAAAAAAGTGTGAGTGGATCATGATGATTTTTTTTAAATAGGACACTCTGTATTATTCCATTTTTGGCTTTCTTTCTGATTACTTTACATAATCCTAATATATTAGATATTAAATATGTTTTGGTAGTTTTAGAAATAATAATAAAAAAATATTTTTTTCAGTCTTGAAAAAAAAACGTTTAAAAATATGTACAAGAAATGTCCTGAAATCAAAAGTATACTAGGTATTTACTATAGTTGGTCTGTACTTAACTTTGCTATAAATATCGTAATCTTAAACCATACAGGGTGTTCAAAATTCTATTCCAAACTTTCTCAAATATAAAATAGTTTTTCTTCGTTTTTTTAAATCGAACCGCTAAAAATTCTAAAATGCATGAAATACAATATATGCTTATTTTTTAATTCTCCATGTAACAAAGAAATAATAACGGGTGTTTCATTTAAAAAAAAGAAGAAAAACTATTTTATATTTTAGAAAGTTTGGCATCAGTCTCTCTACAAGAGATGGCACATGTTTTTTGAAACAACCTGTATGAGATTTGGTTGATTTATTAAATTAATTTTACTGCAATTAACAATTATTGTGATTCTGAAGGTATGGCGTGTTTTACTCACATCTGGAAACATAGATGACATCCGTACACTCCGTATGGTCTTTTAATAACTTTAACACGTGGAAAGAAGTTGTTAATAAGTTCATTTGAAGACGTGGATAACTTCTTGTACACCCTGATATTTAATCCTTTTATCAAAGAATACATATACTGTTATATTCTACTGATGGCATGTTGTTATCCATATCCGGAGAGTAAGAGCCTAAATATGCATTTTGGGGGTTTTCTGCGCGAAAAAAGTTAAAATCTCTATCCTCTTCCAAAACTCACGACACTCACACACAATAATAAATAATTTTCGAGATATGAAAAACTAGACGATCCTGATACGGTCAATTTTATAGGTTCGGATTAATCCTTAGGTAAAAGTTAATAATGAACTTTCCTACAGAAGTCAGCAGGTTTAATAGCTGGAGGTAAACTGCAATTTAAACTTTATACTCCTATTGGTGGATAACTGGACAGTGTCAAAGCTATGAGCATGCGCATTTATTTATTCCGAAAATGGTATTTTTTAAGTTTATCTTAATAGCTTTGTTCGGGTTCTTGTTATTACCGATTCTGAACCGTCCTAGAACTGTGATGCGTATGCGCAGAAGGAAATATGAAGACATTATTTCATTTTCGCATGCGCTGCAGAGTTCTAGGACGGTTCAGAATCGGTAATAACAAGAATCCGAAAAAAGCTAATATAAGTATCGATTGTTTTAGTTGAAAAATGAGCCAAATAAAATAAAGTACTGAGGTAATATGAAATTGAATTATTCTCTTATCTCTATTTAATATTTTTGAATTATAAACTTTTTGAATCAAGGGAATAAATTTGAACTCTTCAAATATCATAAAATTATATTTAATGTAATTATAAATTAATATTTAATAAAATTTGTTACCAAAACAAAAAAAATATATTATAAGGAACAAAGTATTGCTCTGGGACAATACTGAGACTGACATTTTTGTAGAAAGTTTGTAGTTAACATTAAAAAATATTTCACAATGTTATCTACTCGCACTCATATACTAGTACAGTTGTAAAAGGGTTTCAACTTTGTAAGGAAATATAAGAAGTTAAAAATACATGTTATTTTGACATTCTCAATGTTACCTCAAAAGAGTAGGTTAGGTTAGCTCAATGAATATCATGTGCGCCTCTTAATATAATTTAAAATCAAAGATCACAAAAAAACAGTTTCTCGTTAAATAGCTCGTTTTTATCCTTTAAATCGTTTGTGCATTCAGAGTTTTAAATTCACTTAATTGAGATTAAATTTATCACATTTGATAAAACCGACGGTAAAACAAAAACAAACCGCAGTTGCTATTAGCGCGTTAAAGTATATATTTTTAAAATATAAATTTGACATTGCTGTGTATATTAAAAATTGAATACGTTGATGGACGTCATGATCTGTTGAGGACTGTTTTCAAGAAGGTGAAGATACAATGTAAGTAACTTTAATGTAAAAAATACACAAATATTTTCATTGCATTATCAAAAATATATTGTTTTTAATATCAGAACTATATTTAATTATTAGACAAAGAAACATCTACATCGACATAGTAGTTCCCGCTGATCTCCAAAGTTAATCGATGTCAGACGAAGGGAGATCTTAGACGGGTGACGGAAAACTCCGGCGTGTTCTTGTTTGAGGGCAAAATAATTCTCATCGAATCGTATACTGCCCATTATTACCCATTTGATACTGGATGATCTGGATAGCTTGATATCTTGCAGGTAAGAATCGATGAATACCTGCATGAGTATTTTCTGCCGTTACATTTTCACCCCCCTGTATCTTCGTTGTGGATAAAACTAAAATCTTAATTTTTAGTCATTAAGCGAACATGGTATAGCTGCCTATATTGCCAATAATATACAGGGTTGTTCACCACATACGACACGGAGTATTGTAGCTAAACGATTAAATTTTTACAAATTGTAAGTTTTGGGTTCGTTGAAGGACTAT